TCGTTTTGTGCAGATGAGAGAAATTAAATGAATCATACGAGCTTTTTTAATGAAAAGTCTTATTCCCTCCGTTTTTTAAAACACTTCTGCTTTCATTTTTTTCACTTCCAACAAAACACTTCCACTTTCTATTAAAAAACTACTTTTACCCTTACTTTTTCATACCCTACCTATCACATCATACTTTATCTCTAATAATCTATCCATCGCATCCTACTTTTACCTATCACATTAAGGACAAAATTGGAAGTCAACTACAATTTAATACTTTCTTATTTTTACACAAAGTCAAAATAGGAATACTTTTTCTAAACGGAGGGAGTAGAAAATATAGTTTGAATTGGTTCATTTCAAGATATACTACTCCGTAGTTTTCATCTATCAAAATTTTATACTTCCTTCGTTCCAAAATAAACTTTCCTTTTTGACTTTTTGAGGATTTAAGGGAGAAATATTTTTGTGTTGACTTTCTAAAAATACCCTTGATGTAATGTGTAAAAGTAAGATGTGATATTTAGATTATTAGTAAAAAAAGTATGATGTGATATGTAGGGTATAAAAAAGTAAGGGGTCAAAGGGGTTTTTAAGGGAAAAGAGAAGTTTATTTAGGGACAAAGAAAAAACGAAAGGGGAAGTTTATTTGGGGACAGAGGGAGTATGTTATATTTTTTAAAAATTATATTTAATTTGTGGTTAAAAAGATTACAAGAGTTTAAATAAGATCATAATTTTGAGACCGAAGTATTTCATCTTCAGACTATTACACTAAAGTAAAAAAAATAATCTCAAAGTACATTCGATCTTTTCCTTATTATTTTTTATGTTCTGAAAATTAAAAAACAAAGTAAATTATTATAAAATCAAGTTAAGAAAAAAGACAAATAATCTATGTTTAAAAAAATTGAAAAAATATTATAGAGTAATAAAGATATGGAAGAAAATAAAAATAGAGTACCCAAGTTACGTCCCATAATATTTGGGTTTGAAAAATTGTAAAACCCATTTTGCAATTAGAAATGCAGTATTATTTGGGAGATGCAAAACTCTAAAACCAAACATATGTAGTACTTTCGAGATGCTCTTACTTCGTATAAAATAGAGTTGATGGAGACAATATATGTACTCCCAATCTACGACCAATAAAATTTTAATGGTGCAGATTACTTTCAAAACGCTAATGCTAATCTCTAACGCTATTCCCAATCAGGCTCCTTAACCACTAATACACATAGTTATATTTAATGGAGTTACATAAACCTAGTACGGAGTATATCATATACGGAGTAACTATAATCTTTTGAGTACTATTATATTAGCTCTACTACAATATGTTACTCCCTCCGTCCCAAAAAACCTTTCACGTGAAAAAAAATTGTGTATCCAAAAGTCCTCCTCATTTCTAAGGAGTATTAAAAAACCACTTTTACCACTTACTTTTTCATACCTTACCTATCACATCATACCTTTTTTCTTAGTTCGTATAATCTATACATCACATCCTACTTTTACACATCACATCAATGGTATTTTTAGAAAAATCAACACAAAATTATCCATTCTTTATTTTACTACTTTAGTCAATTTTTTCGTCCCATAAAATATTTTCACTTCATAAAAGGATGGGATTTAATAAATCTACAGTTTTGTTACTTTCTGATTTTACATCTATTGTAGGATATGATAGGATGTGATTGGTGGATAAATTAAAGTAAATAAATATGATGTGATAGATTAATATACTCCCTCCGTCCCAGAAAACCTTTCTCCTTTCTTTTTTCATCCGTCCCAAAAAACATTTCTCATTTCTATTAAAAAGTCACTTTTACCCCTTACTTTTTCATACCTTACCTATCACATCATACCTTTTTACTAATAATCTATCCATCAAATCATACTTTTACCCATCATATCAAAGGACATTTTTAGAAATTCAATACCAAAATACACTCCTCTTAAATCCCTCTTCAAAATCAAAACTCCCATGTTTTCCGGGACGGAGGGAGTATTTAATAGAAGTATTTGAAAACCGAATTTTTTTAGGGATGGAGAAGTAGTATTTATACAAATACGAAGTATATTTTTTCAACTTACTCAAAAAACAATGATGAGTCAACATCGTGTGAGGGGAGTTTCCATTCACGAGAGCTCTAACGATGTCAGTGGACTACAAGGTCTTGTGGCCAAACGCCATAATTTTAATGAGCTATAAATGTTTAAAATACTCTGTAATTGGTTAGTTTAGTGGTTGAATTAATGGAATTAAAATATCATACCAACCAGACCCAATTATTTTTTTAGGAAGAGAACCAAAAACTAAATTAATCTTTGGTAATAATTTATTTTTGTCTAATTAAGTAGAAATTATCATTTTGCACCAAAAAATGTTTGTGCAGTGCCCACTACCCTCGTACTCTCATATTGTTCTCTCACATATTCTTTGAAGGTGTCTCACTTACCATATATTCTTCTAGTGTATTTATCCAGTTTGATTTTTTTGAGTCAAATTGAATAAACTTTAGACATCAATTAAACAAAAACTATAATGTATATTAGTATAACAATAATTTAATTAGATTTATTTTTTGAGAAATTTCAAAATTTTATTTCATTGTTATGTAATAGAATTTGAGAGTAATTGATTATTAAAATTCGTTCAGTTTGAATCGAAAAGGTCAAACTGAGTGAATACATTGGTAGAGAGGGAGTATCTTTGTTCTAAAATATTTATTCATTTTTAAATTTTTCGTGTGAAAATTAGTAAATTTTGGCCGGAAATTAAATAAAATTTATATTAAATTTTAATACAAGAATAGTTTTACTATAGATTTAATTATCCTATAAAATATTGTCAAAATATATATTGTATTATCTAATTAATATACCATGTAATAATTATTTAATTATAAATCAAAAATCGATCCGGATTGACTGTAAAAAGTCAAAACTATGAGAAAGACTAAGCACACTTTTTTATCAATCCGCCGTTAAGAAAGATGAGCCCCATCCCCGAAGGCTCTCTCAGACGATCGGTCACTGATAGGAATTATATTAGAGTTTGATAGCAGATTGGTGATAAATAATGGAGCCTACACTTGATACATGTAGATCGAAACTGGAGGCTTGATATAGTTAAGACTATTTTTCAATGGGTGTTTAAAAATTTAGTCCGGTGCATGCATGTACCCCTACAACGTGTTGTTATTTAATTTCTTAAAATTGTTAGACAATAAATGCACAAAATAAAGAGACATTACTTTTGGTATGGCTAAGAGGCAATGACAAATAGACAATTGGGTTTTCTATTTGTTTCCGTACACGAGAAATTAGGATTAGGTCATATCACGTTCACGTACTAGTCACAAACTAGTTTGATGAAATAGACATCATGCGATTAAATTAAAAAGTGTGATTATTTGAAGAAAATGAAAAACGCCGTTTTAATTATAATTGCAAAACGGGCCTAAATTGAACTGTTTGGGGATGTTAATTAAATTGCCTGAGTCCACTACCTTTAATTTGTTCATTATTTCGCATTAACCCAACTTATTTTACACTCCTCTTTTTAATCACACAATGTTGTGTTTTTATTTAAATATTTTGTAAGAAAAAAGAGACAACTTAAATACTTTATTCTTCCTAAAATTAACTACCCGTTTTAGTTTACGAGCTGAGGTTTGAACGAAGCTATTTTCAGTTTAATTTATTTGATTATAAGTGAAAATGTTTAAAATAAATTTATACGGAGTGTATTTTATAGGTAAATAAAGTAAAGTTTTACTGTATGTAAGACATTTTAGAACAAGTAAAAGAGAAACGAGAAAATCCGTTTAGGCCGGAAAGAGTATACTCGGCAATATGTATTTATATAAAAATAAAAAAATATTCTTTAATAGTCAAAGAGGGTAAAAAGTTGACCCCATGTCAAAGTGGTAGAAATATATATAGTGTAATTAAACATGTGTTTGGTTTTTAAAACGATTATATTATAGTTGAAAGATTGCAATAAAGTTTTGTTTATATAAGATAGTTATTTAAAGTGTTTAGTAATGGACTTCAAAAAAAAGTGTTTAGTAATGAGAATCGACTAATTTTTTTATTAATTTAAACTAAACAAAATGATTATTATATAATAATTGAAACTAGCTTGTTTGCTTTGATACTTACACTATGTTTGGTTCAAGGAATTTGTTAAGAAAAGAAAAGAAAATGGTTTTCTCTCATTTTACTCACCAAAATGGGAGGAATTTGGTTTTCTTTCCTCTTAGTACATTTTGCCTCCTCTTTTTCTTTTCCTTCCACTTTTCTTTTCTTTTCCTCTCTAACCAAACAAGAAAAATATTTTCCTTCTCATTTTCTTTTCTTTTCTTTTTTCTCTCAAATTCCTTGAACCAAACATAGTGTTAATATGATTTTTATTATATTAGTTATTATCTTCTCATGTATGGTTGGTCAATTGATTTATCAAAATTTCAGTTAACTTTCGAAGGACAAAACATTTGATACGGTTAATGGTTATGAAAATGTATCCTAACCAAAGTATCAGTCAACGAAACTTCCCATGTTCTAATTTTTTCTGTCTTAGACTATATTATAATGTAATATTTATTCATATTTTTTTTTGATATAATAACACACAAAGAGTCAATATCTTTGCTTTTATTGGGGCTCAAATCTGGGTGAATTTCTAAATGAATCCTGGAGAGTATACTTCCTACCACTCAAGCTAGATTGAAATTTTACTCCCGACGTCCGAAAAAAATTGTTACAGTTACTATTTCGGTCTCTCAATAACTTTTATTTCTTAACTCGTTTTAACTTATCATTTGATAAAATAAAATATTTTTGTCACATGTTATTTCGTGAATTTATTTTGGGTGTGTTTATGTGTCACGTTGTCATCTCTTAATTAGTTTTCCCTGTCAGCCATCAAATGATATGGACCCCCTTAGATAGCTTGAACATGCAGTATAAATACCAAGCAGTACCGCACCCTATCTTTAACATTCTTTATTTGATTAATTACTACTGCCATTACTACCCCTCTCACCTCTCTTCGTAATAATTAATAAACACAGAGTTAATTCCCATTCTACCCTCGCTCTCTGGAAATGGCAGCAGACTTAACCCACCAACTTGATCACCAAATGCCCCTCGTTTCCCATTTTTACCCTCCCATTTACCCCCACCTCCCACCCCATCAAGGTTAGTAATTAGTTACTCCCATCCAGTCAAAACCTGTTTTAATTTTTTCGTAATCAAGTTGTTTTTTTTAATATAATCAGAGGTGTTTTTTTTTAATATTAGGAGCGGCGGCGGAGGAGAAGCCGCGGCGGAGGAGGAGGAGGAAGAACAAGGCGGGAGAGGGGGTGACGGGGATGAGGAAGCGGAAGCTGAGCGAGGAGCAGGCGAATATGCTGGAGAGGAGCTTTGTGGACGAGCACAAGTTGGAGTCGGACCGGAAGGACCGGTTGGCTTCCGAGCTGGGGCTCGACCCGAGACAGGTGGCGGTCTGGTTCCAGAACCGGAGGGCTCGCTGGAAGAGCAAGAAGCTGGAGGGGGAGTACAGCCGGCTCAAGACCGAGTTGGAGACCACCGTCGTTGAAAAATGCCGCCTTGAATCCCAGGTGGCTTTTATGTTTTTATAGTTTCGCTCTTTTATATTCAAATTTGATGACATTTAATTATTAATTTTGGAAAAATAGATTTCATATTACTTCTCCTGTTCCAGTTTATTTGTCCAGTTTGATTTTTTCGAAATAAATTAAACAAATTTTCAGGTTCAATTAAACAAAACTTTCAAAATTTTATTTTATTATATTACTATGCAATATAAGTTTGTCTAGTTTGACTCAAAAAAATCAAATCAGACAAACAATATATTACAAAAATATTTTTATTAGATTTATTTTGTAATTTTTTTAAACATTTATTCTATTTTAATAACATTAAATATATGGAGTTATATCTATCTAATTGAAAATCAAAGTTTGTTTATTTTAACTATAAATGATCAAACTGGACAAAATGAGTATGAGACAATTGATTACAAACCAGCATGTTAAGGCCTTGTTTGGGACTAGTGATACGATATTTTTAATATAAAACATTTAATCCTGGCCTCTTTGTATTCATTTTTTTGGTAAATGGGAACATTTTTATTTTTATTAATTTTTATTTTAATTTTTTTTGGTACTCCGTATTTCACTAACTATTTGTGATCCTAAAAAAGAGTTGAAATGAAAATGGGTGAAATATGCTAAGTTTAGGCATTCCATTTGGGAATGGGCCTTCTTGGGCCCGGTCAGATTGTGATTACTGATTTGATTCTTATGGCTAATTATATTGTTAAGAAATGACATGAAACACTTACCAATCAAAAACTGATTTTTGACCTGCTGGGAAGCACTTACATGGTTTACACAAAAAAGTACACTCTTTTGTACCACGATTTAAGTGTAGGTATCACATCCCATGTTTTTAAAAGATTTACCAAAATTAATATTCTTCTGCCCTATTTTTCTCTTATTTTTTGCATTATTTACCTTTTCCCTTTCTTCAGTTAAACTTTACCTACAGACTACAGTATTTGATAAGATAATTATATAGTCATGTCACTGATTGTTTCGAATAATTTTGAAGTAATTTTTAAATATGAAAATTTAATTTTTTTTAATTACACCCTAATCCTCAAGGAATGAAATTAAAAAAGAAATTCAGTCAAACTTAGTAAATCGAAACAAGTGCTTTAAATTAGGGTCGAGGGAGTACCCATCAAGGACAAAAACAAAAAGTCAAATATTTTTTCATCTTACATTAAAAAATATTTCATGAAAATTAAATTTCTATATAAAAAAAAGTGATGTGAAAGTTGGGTTCACACTTGGAATATTCTTAGCATTATTATTCAACAAATTTAAAGGATAGAGGTTTCATTTTGTTAAACAGAACTCATCCCATATATGGATAAAAAAAAAGTAACTTTAATTGGTACACTGTTGCTTGAGCCGCACATGATATCTGATCTTTTGACATTTCTTTCTTTCCTCACATGCATGTTGAACCACATGTCCAAATTTGATTTATTTTAAATTAAATTAATTCACTCTACTAAAAAACCAAATACTCCGTATTAATTTGTTTGTCAAAAAAATAACTCAATAAAAAAATCAAATTAAACTTCGATTATAGGGTTGTGATTATAGATTTGATATATATACTCTAACATTGTTATTACGTACAGGTACTGGAGCTGAAACAGCAGATATGTGAATTTGAGAACAGGCTTCAAAAGATGTCGTCGGAGCGCGGGGAAGTGCTTTCTAGCAACAGCCCGAGCACTTCGTCGTTCCCGATGCAAGCGGGGCCCGTGTTTTACGGGGAGTACTTTGGGATGGACGAGATAATGATGGACGACGTTTTCTACCTCGACGAATACGGCAGTTACGGTGGGGGTCATGTAGGGGATCAATGGATTCATCAGCTTTGCGGAATGTGATTAATTAGCGGTTGATTATTAATTACTACGGAGTATTATTATTATTATGATTATGATTATTATTATGTGTACAAAACCTGCAGCTAGCTAGGGTTCATTATTGTTGTGGTTATTATATATGGATTTGTGTAAGTATTTAGTTACTTAATTACTAGGTACATTATGTTAATTAGGTTGTAGATAATTAAATGACCCTTGTGCAATTTCAGTGTAAATTAAATTACCCTCCCTTTAATTTTACCCTTCTTATCCTACTGTTTTGGACAGATATTTAGTTGTAGCACAAGTGGTGTACTATAGCTAGGGTCACTTTAGCATGCAACGTTGATTGGTACATTTCCACAAATCAATATTAAACTACTTCCTCACAAAATAATATTCTCTCCCTCACAAACTTTGAAATGTGGCTTTGCATGTCATTTTAAAGGATTAAGGTATTTTTACCCCAATTTGTACACTGCAGGTGTGCACCTACATTTTGCGTTAGTGTAATATTAGACTGATAGTTCACACAAACACAAAATGTTAGTGCAGATTTTTGTTAACGTACCAGAAAATGTTAGTGCAGATTTTATGTAGAAAAGTAAAAGAATGTCAAAGTATTACTCCGCCCTGAGAAAAATCTTAGATAGAGATGGTTTTTTTCGTGATGTTGGTCCCAAATTTGATTACAAATTGAGATTTACATGACAAAATTTCTCATCTTTTGAAATTATTTTATTTACAAATTGTATTTTGGTAAAAAATAAAATTACATACTCCCTCCGTCCCAGAGTATTTGTCCACTTTCATTTTTACACACCATCCAATGCACTTCTTTAATCTATTTTATCTTGTAATTTGTATATTAAAAAATTATAGAAATTATATATTAATAATCTATATGTTAAGACAAATCAAACAAGATCACACATGACTATAGTTAGGCTTACACATTGAGAGAATTTGATGAGTCATAGTGCTTAGATGAACAGTTCCAAAAATCAAAAGTGGATGAATATAGCGGAACGGAGGTAGTATTAAATAAGTACGTCAAAAGTTCTACTAAACAAGAAGTGACAAAAATATTTTGTTTTATCAAATAATCAATGAAAACATACAAACAAACAAAAATTATCGAAAGTAGAGAAAAAAATTGTCATCAAAATTAGGACGGAGGGAGTATATCAACTTGTTGTTAACATGCCCTTGGGCTGGGCTGGAGACTGCACTGGGCCGCCACACAATATCAAATTTTGGTCTCAATTGTTAATTACTTTTCCAAACCTTTTTGTAAATTACAACTACTACTCCGCATTAACAACTCGCCACGCGACATCTAATTTTGGGCTCGTCGGGTAATGGGCCATGCCCGGCCTCCGGGGACGGCGTTTGGGTGCCCTTTGAATTGGTTGCAATTCCGTCCGCACGTTGGTTTGGTTTGGTGGGGGTGGCAATATGGATATGATTAGGTACATACATTGAGTTGTGTTGTCACTATGGCGTGTTTGACTGAAATCTCCACTCCCACTCCCACTCCCCTCCTAACTCTGTCCCTATACGGCGGAGAATCAATTAGAACCCTTACCATTGGTAGGAAATTTCGCCACGTTCCAACTCCTGCTACATTGGCTTCTCTCACAAATTCTCACAATGTCATCCATCTGCTAGCAGACGTTGTGCAGTTAACAAGACAAGGAACATCAAGAAAATAAGACCCAAGTTCGATTCCTGATAACTGCGCTGGAAGAAACTATGCTAAACATAAAGCCTCTGCAAGTATCGGGTGCAGATCTCGTTCTTTGTCACAAATTTTTGATTAAATTCTAATTTACCTGCTCTCAATGACCGTCTGGCCAGGTCTGAGGGGACCCTCGGGGATGGGGCTCATCCTTTTTACAATGTTGTCATCCTGAAAACTCACTTCTCCGTATTTTGTTTACATTATTCATCATTTTTAATTTCATTTTTTAAACAAACAAAATACATATAATTAAAATTAGGGGTGAACATGGTACGGTATTTAGCTCGTATTGATACCGTACCAAATATTTCGATTCGATATGAGATTTTATGTCGTACCGATCTTGATCCAGAAATTTGGGTTTGCTATGGTTCGATATCGGTTTCGATACAAATTGGGATGAATACATTTATGCCTAATTTAAACTTTATAATGTCACAAAACTTATGAAACTTAAAAAAAGTTATTAATAAAATCTAAAACACAACATTAAATTAAAAAAAATACTAAAATCGGTTTTGGGAACTAGATCTGTACCGTGTCGCCGACCACCGGTAACGATTATGGTGCTTCTCCCTTCGGTATTGGGAATCGAAATTATACCTAACCGGTATCGTGTCCACGGCTAATTATGACTAAACCTTTGGGACCCTCTCAACATGCTACATTGTCTTTTTAGTTGGGCCTTCAACTAGCTCCCACTTTCCCTCAAAAAATTAACCCAGACATTTCCTTATTTGAATCTATTTCTTCACATGTCACATTCTCATTCAAGCTCGTCTATACTTTATACTTAGAATTTATTTTCTTTAATTATTGTCATTAATCCTTATTTTTTATTAGATTTAGATCAAAATCAGAACAGATAAAATCATATCAGAAATAAATTGAGAAGGTTGGTGCATATTGCCTCCTCTCACCAAATTTGTTAGTATGAATTCATTTTGATTCCTTAGGTCCATTTTGATTCTTTAGGGGCCCAAAAAAAGGTGCACATTAAATTGATAGCCTAAAGAGGGCAGCTTCTGGTGACTCGAATGATTATCCCATTTTGTAAGCCCACATCCAAGGAAAACGAATCCGTTTGTTTTAGCCACTGTTTGCTTCAATTAGGATCTGTAAATTTTTGTAAAGGCCCATATTAGCAATATACACTAGAGAGTACCACTTTCAATTAGGATTGAACAAAATGTAAATAAAAAAAATAAAGAACCCTTAGAGCATTGACAATGACAAGACAAAAATGAAATGTCACACGGTGACATGGATTATTTCAACCAATAAAAAGTAACCTAGTCACCGTGTGACAAATGAGTGGAGTGTCGTAACATACAGTGGCAAGTTGTTGTTTTTGTCTATTTTTACACTTTTTAATGATTTTTAAATATAAAAAATTATTTTAAAATTTATTTTATTATTAAAATATGTTTACTTCTTTTAAAAAATATTTTTTTACAAAAATTAAAAAATATTAAAAATATTAAAAAAAATTAAAAATGAGAGAGTCATGCCTTGCATATGGAATGAAAAGTAAAATGGAATGACCATGGAATGCCATGATTTGAGTGGAATTTGCTGACATGGCAAGGCATTGCCTTGCCATTGTGAATGCTCTTATATTTAGATTTTACACCAAATCTTTTACTCACCGAGCTGCTTGACTAAGAGATTGTTTGGCAATGCGTTGCTTTTAAAAATTTAGCTTTTACTTTGATTAAAGTAGTTTTACTTTATCCGGTATGTCATTTTCTGCTTGTCTCCACCACTATTTTGTACATAGAATACTGTTTCGTAGAAGCACTTATGAGGTGCTTTTGCTTTCAGCTTTTGTGGAAATTACTTTATCCACAAGTTAATCAGTTCCAAACACAATCTAAGGCCTTTGTTGAAAAAATTAATTTTCAATTTTTTCCAAACGAAACTTGGTGCGATAAACCATTGACATCCCAGAGCACAACCAAACAGAGGAAGATCAGTGATGTCCCACGTGTGATTACGCTCGAAAGCCAATAATTCTTGAGCCATAGCCTCACACCAGGAGGCAATTTGAACAGTGTCATGAAAATTATTAAGCTCGGTATTTGCTATCGCATCTCCTAAGAATCCCTTATACCGGTCATGTAACTTATCATATTGAACAAAGTTAGTAATAGGGAATCGTGTACCTGAAATCGAAGACGGGACATAAGATGAGGAGTATTGGAGTTTTTATATCGGAAAATAACACAAGAATACTTCTACCATATATGGAAGGGTGAAGTCCTACCTATCAGCTTAAGATTTTGGATTAGAATAGTGGATCTTGATTATATAGGTCAGTGATTAATTTTCCCGATACTTCACCCCTTGTTCTCCCCCCTCCCCCCTCGAATTTTAACAAAACTAATATGCTCCGATCCAAACTAAAATTTGGAATTTAATTTTGCATTGTATAGACAAGTCACATGACCTTGAAATACATCCACATGTTTAAAAAGAATTATTAAGGCCCCGTTTGGTACACGGAATTCAAATTATGGAATTGGAATTGAGAACTTCAATTCCAATTCTGATGTTTGGTAGCACAAAAATTATGTGGATTTAGAATTGATAGTGCAAAAAAGTAAATTGGAATTGGCAGAATTCAATTCCATGGAATTGAATCCCTTGACATTTCAATTCCAATTTTATCAATTTCGTATACCAAACGGACCCTAAGTTTTTGGTCCATTTCAAAATTGGCACAAAGATCGGAAATGTAGTCCTAAGGACTCGAAACCAGAACTTAAAATATTGTTATGAGATGTATGATAATTGACAACTTATTTCTTTGGTCCTAATATTTTCTACACGAGCATAAGTCTAAACATTGGGGAAGCTTAGCGTTAGCGTTTTGGATAAGATTTTAACGGTGCAGATCGCTTTGAAAACGGTAACGCTAAACACTGCCCGTAGATAGCTTTTTCAAAACGCTAACACTGTTCCCAAACAAGCACAATAATTTTTTTTAGTTATGGAAACTCGATGTTTCAATTAACTAAAGCTAAAGCTATAGTGTTCTTAAAACACTCAATCTGTTACCAAACAAGGCCAACATGTAGGTGATTCTCTCTGCTTATAAGCAGATCAAAATTGCTCATATATAAATAATTTTTAATTTATAAGTCAGCTAATAATATGTTTCTGTATGCTTATAAGCTGACATACAAGCCAGAAAAAATAAGTAGGTTTTTGTTACTTATTTTTAAGCTTATTTTTTGGTTTCTCCTTTTGATCAGATTATTTACAAAACTGTTCCTCACCATTTATGAATATTTAGAAA